GGCTTAGGGTTGGCCCACCGTCGGGCACAACCTAGTTCAGCTCAACGTCGAAGAAGGCCTAACACATGCCTAATCCATCATAACCGCAGGAGGGCACGTTCCTCACACGGTTCTCACCTGAGGACACATGGCCAGTTAATCTCGCGTTTCTAGTGGAAACATTAGGCCCTTTATAACGGGCAAGTCGTCCACCTTCTGGAGTTTGTGGGGCAATTGACCCAAGACGAAGACCACTTGCTGGTATTTCCTACTTTCACCTAGGATCCTGGCAGTCATCCATGGTAGGCCTAACGATCCAGACCACAACAGATGACCTTTGGCCCGGCATTTGGGGCTCTATGAATACCTTATTTAACAGAGGGGCAGGTATTTTGAATTCATTATCACTTTGTACTTCCTCTTTCTCTTTTCACTTTGAACTTAACTTTGGCATCGGAGTGCCTTACAGGGACACCCACATCCTCTTCTCCGTCACCGGCAAATTTAGAGTCCACAACGTGTTGCTGGCCGCTGATTGAATCTTTGATCTCGGTAAGATCATAAACTAATATGCTTTGTATGGAACATATCGAATAACATGTGATGGGTGGATATGACCACCTGGTCATTGATGAATAATTGTAACTTTGTTAAGCATATTCCACGCAATAGAGGTCTGGACTTTGTGGACAATATCTATTGGATGATGAGATCTATATAGTGGAAGTCTAGTATCCATTGACCATATCTAGTGGAAAGGGATTGATGCATTCCTTCAGTGGAGGTCTAGTGTCCATTGACCATATTTGATTATGGGAGTATGTTATATGCAATTGAGGTCTAGATTCCATGGATAACATTTGATGGTGGATTCCATGCAGTGGATGTCTGGTATCTATGGACCATATATGGTAGATAGTTAGTCTGTGTAGTGGAGGTCAGGTTTTTCCATTGACCATATCTGATGGATGGTTGTTTAGATCCTTGTGATCGGTTTGGGCTAATCACACTTGTGTTATAGTCTGTATTTTCCATGAATAATGATTGTTTTAGTTAATGAACTCAAGAGACAACTTTTCATATGTTGCAAGCTTTGTGAACTCAAGTCTTATTTCCTTTCCCCCTTGACTTGAGTTAGTATTTGATGAGAACCCTGTAAAGCCGAGCTAACCCATAGGATAGAGGAACTCACTGAGATTATCATTTCACCCCATTATTGTTGTTTCTTTTCAGGTGTTTTGTTTGCAGGTTCAGTTTGAAAGTGGAGCTATACATGGATATTTCAAGGAAAGCGTAGATTGTAATTATTTTGTTGTGTTCTGTGTATATTGTACAATGAAGGATATTGTACTAAGATCTTAGATTTTATTGTGTTGGCATTTTCCATAATTTGTACCATAGGTTATTTCATTGTTTTAGAAATGATCAAGAATGTAAATGTTGTCAATAGGCACTTATGATGGTGTTAGTACCAAATAATAACATTTTTATAATATTATTCTAGATATATATTATACAGGATGCTACGGACTCAACACGGGTTAAGACATGATATCTCTGTGCTAAGATATTAGAAATTTACTCGAGAATGTGAAAAAGTTTAGGAACAATACTTCTTGGTTGCTCGTTTCACTAAGTCAACTTGTGATAACATGTGTACCATTAAACTCAGGCTACCTTATCAATGTTCAAATAAATTCTCCATGTTCTGGCGTCAAAGCCATTTAATAGTGGACAATGGGACTTACATTTATAGGATGGATAGTTTTCTCACGAGGTCATTTATTTGAATATACAATTGATATCCTTCTTAGAGGGTTTGGATTTCGTCGACGGTGTTACACTTTCTAATGTGGCGTCGAAGAAATCGAAGAAGTGGTAAACGGTGACGCGTTTGCTGGTGGACATTAGCTTGAAAGAGGCTACGCATATCATTTATAGTGAGTGACACAGGGAATCTCTTTTTTCTTAAACGCTCATTTGGTGTTTTACTTTATACCTTGTCTACTCTTGGCATGCAGATACAATGAAATGTTACCAAACAATGAAACAAATGAAGAAAACTCGTTGATTCGTCCTTCTACGGGAAGATGCTACTAATGTCATAGTCCTCAGAAGGGCTCCGACTGTGGGGTTTTCTCCTTGTTGGGTTGTAATGGAAGATATTTTGCATTCTACCCTACGTGTGGCTTGAGGAGTCCAGAAGTTAGTCGTGATCTTGAAGTGCTTCATGATAAAGGATTGCTCGTTAGCCAACTTCAGAGGCTTCAGCAAAACTTGGGGAACTTGGTTTTACATAAGGCTCTACTTCGACTATGGTGTCCCAGTGTCCCTACCCCCTTCGTTTCTTGTCCTCCCTAGTATGCGAATGGTTGGGGAGTTTCGAGCTTCTATTTCTGAATATGGCTATACATATTTCTCGAGCAAGGTTGAAATCGTTCACTGGGAAGAGTTGGTAGATCTGGCATATCATACGACACAGACGTCGTCCGTTTTGGCGCTTGGAGGGGAGAAGTCTTCTTATCATACTATCTTCAAAAGAAAAATCCAACAACCTGACAATGATCTCACATTTAAGCGAGACTGGTATTGGGAAGAGCTCCAAGGAACATCTACCTTGCTTTAGGGATAGGGTTCGTTGTAGAAGCTTTCTGGTATGTCGACACACTAGACGAGAAAGTGTAATCACTTATATAGGCGATGAAGAAGAAGTACAAAGCTCTAGCTCTTGCACAAACAACACGAACCTATGTTAAGGCCACACCTACTAAGGAAAATAAAGCATCAAGTTATTTCCATAAGAGGGTAAAGGAGTTGGATGCATCTTTGAAAGAGAACTGAGGAGGTTGAAAGAGGACCGAGGATGCCTTTTGTGAGATGCGCCTTGAAAATATTGTCTTAGCTAAGAAGTATGTGAAGTCAATGGAAGACAGTTTCTCCCTTCGTACGTGTATCTTTCGAGAATGCATTGCAACAAATGGAATATGTTCATTCTAAAGTGCATATATCAGAAGAGCAAGTTCTTCCTGATCAAGAAATGGTGAATGGGAATTCAATCTCTATTATAGATTAGTCCCTTGTCGAATTATTTTTATTATTATATTTAGGATGTTCGTATCGGTTTAACTTCAATAATACATAAATTTCATAGTTCTTGTTTAAAGTCTATATTTTAATATGTTACTTATCATTATTATCTTACCGTGGTATATTTTTTGAGATGGTGTTTTTATATAGAATAGTAAATAATTATTTATCATTAATATATTTTATATTTTAAAAAATTATAATAACATAATATAATTTTTGTAATTTTTTCAATACAATTTGAGTTTTTTTCAAATTAAAAAAAAAAAGAATAAAAATTGTATTATAAATAAAAATAAAGCTCACTATATCCTCTCCACCCAATTCTTTGTATTCTCTCCACTCAATTATTTTTTCTCTTTTTAAAGTCTTTCTCTCTAAGCTCCAAACAACGCCTTTCAACATAGATTAATCATCAAATTTTTTTATTACTCTCTCAGTTCTGCTCTAAGTTAAGTAAAATTGAATAAAATCGGCATAAGCTTATGTATACCAACTATTTGTTGTACACGAAATGTGTCTAAATCTTCTCTTTGAATCGAAAATTACACAATTACAAAACTGTTAACTCTTTCAAATTTTTCATGAAAGGCTGGATTATGCTATTTGCTTCATCGCCATACACTATTGTATTATGCTCGTTTAGAATAGCTACAAAATCAAGTTTTATTAGCGCTACATATATCCTTGCATTTTATTTGGAGAATCAATTGGTATCGAGTGTTCTGCAAAATATAATGGTGGAACACAATAAGCTGAGCTAGACGCCAAAACTGGAAATTCATATTCTTTGCATTCATTGTTGCCCTTTTTACAACTCCAATATCCCTTTTTACAATTCTAATATTAGACAAATCATTCACACTCGTACATCAGCAGCTTTAGTTTGGAATAGGGCTGGAAATGAGTCGAGTCGAGTCGAACTCACCTCAGCTCGGTTCGACTCGTTAAGAATTGTTCGAATTCGAGTTCGAGTTTGACACGAACTTTTTTTTAAGCTCAAACTCGACTCATTATAAGTTCACGAACAGTTCGCTTCGACTCGTTAGGTTCATCTCATTAGGTTCAGCTCACATGGCTCACGAACTTAAAAACTATTTTTTAAAATATATATATATTTTAGTATATTTGATATTTTAAATAAATATATATATTTTAAATAAAATATTAAAATAAAATAAAAGTTATCATATTGAAATTTAACTTTATCTTCGAAATCTACTAATTCAAAACCTACACAACTTTCAAGAGATACATTTGAGAGTCTAGTTCAAAAACTACTAAATTGAAGATTAAATTTGTCTAAGATTTGAAGTAAATATTTAAACTTAATCTTAAAGACAGTATAATTCTTTTCATATGTAATCGAGTTGACTCATGAACCTAACGAGTCGAACTATGTATAGTTCAAGTTCAGCTCATTTAGTTAACGAACTTAATTTTTCGCTCATACTCAACTCATTTGGTTCATGAACCTAGTTCAACGATTTAATTGTCGAGTCGAATTCCGAACTATCTTCGAGTTGGTTTGGTTCATTGCCAGCCCTAGTTTGGAAGAACAAAAAAACACACATAGTTGTGATTGATGCATTAATAGAAGACATTTATATTGATAAATAGGTAAAAGTGTTGGATTAATGATAGTTCGGTATCAAATACGTCAATTTCCTTTAAGCAATAAGTTAACAAAAAAAACAAAAATAAAGATAACTTGCAGAAGTTAGTTGCTCGAATAAATGACATTCCTTCTAAGGAACATGACAGCAATTGAACAACTCAAACTATTAAATCAAAGCTTCCATTCTTTTACCTTACAAAAGTAAAAAAGGAAAATATTAAGAAAGCCTACTAATCACTCGGTTCAAGTTTACAACATATTGCCATCACATTTGTCTTTTCTATCCTCCTATACCTACCAAGCAGACGCACAAAAATTATTCCATCATTGCATTTGCATCAGCTGATATTTCGGTAGCTGGTACATCAGATTTTCTTTTGTTCTTCCCTGAATGCCACAAAAAACACCAATTAAAAGTTTACTAAACAATTCAATGGTTCTTCATAAAATGACATTCCACGACAAAACATTCAAAAAATGGAAAGAACCATGTGGTTCTGTTAGTAAAAGCCACTACAATCAGCGCTAAATTTCTTAAAGGATATTTACGCCTTGGCTACTAAAACAATATAGTCCAAGTTATTTAGTGTTAACATTTAGCAGGGTAAGATCAAATCTGTTAAGACTCTGAGAGTCAAAGACAAAAAAGGATTAGAATTGGATTTAGGATATAAGTTAGAAGTGAATATTTGTTTAGTATTGAAATTGAAAAGCTTAGTTTAAAATGATTCAAAGATCTAAGAGTGTTCCAATCTCCCTATCCAGTGAGATATGCTGAAATCAACTACTGCTAATTTGAAACAATGTTGTGTAGGGTAAACAAAGCGGCGAGAATGCTCTAGTTTGCCTATCAGTTGGTAGCATTCTATGTGTTATCAATGCATTGACATAATGCAGAGATAAAAGGAAAATAAATCTGATAGAGGCTAATTGAGGGGAGGTGGGGGGAGAGGGAGGTGGTTGGGGTCAGATGTGATTTCAATTTTGGTTTCAGCTTATAGGTTGGGGACATACAAGTTTTGCATTAGCAGTTAGCATTCACTCCTTAGTTTCTGTATTTTCTTTTTCTTTCTTAGCAGCAATATACTTTACCTTCGCAAATACAAATTGCTCCTACTGTGCATCCTTACCCACAAACATTAGAATTTAGAACAGGTCGACAAAGAAGGTTGCTTATAATTGCCTAAAAAAAGAAACCAATGAACAATCTTGAAAACTAATGATAAATCGACTGTTGACTATCAAAACAATGATTTCTTTTCAATTTGCGTGTTGTTGTATTGAACTGTTACTAGTTAGCTATCAGCCAAATAATCATTGACAATGATCCTTGCTCTCTATCCAAGAATTCCTAGATTAATTGTTGGATTCAAAGCTAAAATATATTGTACGTGGATCAAATTCCAGCATAATGTTCTATCCAATTCCAAGCATACCACTTGAAAAAAATAAATCAACTAATAAGTTGGCCTATGTAGAAAGCCATTGGCCCGGTAGGCCTTTCTTGACCCTAGATAGAATATCAATTTTGACTACATTGAATATTGGTCAGCGAACAACTATAGATTGTTAGCTTTTAGTTACAAGGAAATTTATGTTAGGATTGATGGAACATATCAGAACCGAATGGAACATATCAGAATGGAGTGGAGTAGTGCGGAATGGAATATAGATCCCACTCCATTGCTCGGCTATTTTATTAAAAATATTTCATTCCAACCCTAAATTGGACGAACCAAAAATGGAGGATCGAATGGAATGGATATTATTTGCAAATCCAAACAATGGAATCTCATTATTCACTATTTCATTCCTATCAATCCAAACATATCCAAAGTCTGTAAGTTATCACTGTAGATGAAGTTTATCTTGTTTTTGTCATATGAATGTTTTATGATATAGTTTTCAATTGTGTACATGTACTCGCAATTTATAGACACGAAAATTCATACCGAAGCTAATTCAAAACAGGAGAAAATAAATACATGAAATGTCTACCTTTGCGCTTAAGCTGTTTAAGTTTCAAACCCTTTTTCAAGTGAAATTTTCCTGAAGATGAAGCAGTGCTATCTTTGGTTTCCCCTGTTCACAAAACCAAACAACATATGAGACTAAAACAAATCCATCAAGCAAGCTTTTAATCAGAAAACGAATGGCAAATACCTTTCGCAACCGCCATTTGCACATCTTCCATGCTTACTATGCCACTCTCTAAAGCATCCTTTTGTTCCTTCGTTAAATCAAAAGTTGAAAACGCAACAGCAATAGTATTAGCAAGTAAAATTATAAGGATTGATCGTGTGGAGAAAAAAGATACAGAGAGAGAAAGAGTACCCGACGCCATTGTTTGAAGAGCTTGCGCTTGCGTTTACCGGATAGAGAAACGTTCTGCTTCCTGATTTTAAGCTTTCCGGTGATTGGGTCGCCGTGAATTTGTCTCTTTTTCTCTGCAACAAGAGCTCTTCTTCTTTTCTGAACCACGTTGAACTTCGCCATCTTCTACTCCGCACAACCAAACCCTAATTCAACTCTCGCTACTCAAAAATTCTCTTTATATTATTTATAAATAAAATATAAAATATAAATTAAATAAAGATTAAATATATTTTTAATTTCAAACAAAGTTTAAATGAAATTTTACTTTAACCCTAATTCCGGTAAGTAAGCTACCAAAGCCTTGTGTAAAAGGGGATCATTTGTCCATTGTTATTTCGGAGGAGGAGTATCTGCTGGGTGTGGAGTCTTGCAAACACGACCTACACAGTAGGATTATCTGACCTAAGGGATCCACACCATTGACATTTCAAAACCTCAAAACTAAACTTTTGAATCTTTGGAAATCTATTGGGAAATGGGGCATTACCTCCCTTGGTAAAGGGTATTACGAATTCTCGTTTTCCACTCTTGAAGATGTCAGGCGTGTAAGGTCAATTTCATCATAGAACTTAAACCCAGGTTTCCTTAAGTTGTTCCCATGGACAAAGGACTTTAACCATTCCATCCTTAAGCAATCGTCAGCTCAAGTGTGGATTCGCATCCATGGTTTGTCGCAGGAGTACTGGAGGCCGAAAATCATCTTTGCAATTGCAAGTAGTGTGGGGATTCCACTGTGTAATGATTCTGCATCTAATAGGTGCTATTTTGAAAGATCGTTTGGCCACTTTGTTAGAGTCTTAGTGGATTTGGATTTGAACTCTGATATTCGTTATAAAGTCTTAGTTGAAAGATCAGGTTTTGCGTTCTTTGTTGATCTCAAATACGAAAACCTTCCGGAGTTTTGTAAACACTGCAATAGTATTGGTCACTCTTTGGGAAAATGTAAACATCGCGGAGACGAAGGCGAATCTGGTGCAAAAACAAAAAGCAGTAGACGAAGCAGATGCTGGTAAGCCATATAATTCTAAGAAACACAACTTTGTTCAGGTGCCTATTAATAAACCGACCATTATTAAGCCGGTAGATATGTCTCAGATTCATACTGCAGTAGAGAATAGCCATGACAAAGACAATCAGAACCAAGTGAACATTGGTGGTCCTCCAGGTATTCTGGAAGTTGTTAATATAGTGGATGAAGTAGTTGTGGCAGATGACATAGATAAAACCTTGGCTTTGGTTAGTGAGGCGGAAAACAATTTTGCAGGTGCAGAATGTATTGGCAATACACAAAGGAATTCAGTTGAAGAAGTCCCTGAAACTAATCCAGAGCTACAACAGGATCTGATGTTTCTCAATGCTTCTTGGAATAACATGGTCCAACAGGAGATGGTAAAGCAAGGCATTGGTGATAATGTTTTGAACCCCTTGGGGGTAGACGACGATGGCTTTGTGAAAGTGAAGTCTAAATCCAAGAGAAAGATGCAGAAAAACAATGCTACGAGAGGTAATTGCAAGACAAGGTCTAGGCCTGGTAGTGCATCTAATACCCCATGAATTGTTTATTTTAGAATGCGAGAGGCTTAGCCAACTCTCCAACAAAATTGGCGCTAAAAAGGTTAGTTTTGAATTACAAACCTCAGTTTGTTTTTATCGCGGAACCGTGGATGGATAAGGATAACTTCTCAATGTCTTGGCTTCGTAGTTTAAATCTCAAGTTCTTCGCTGTAAATAGTAGGGAATCTTTGCTCCCAAACCTTTAGTGTTTATGTGATTCTAGCATCAATCCAAACGTGATTCATATAGATGACCAACAGGTCTCTTTTACTGTGTTGGTTAATGGCATTTCTATTGGTATCTCGGCCGTTTATGCATCTACCAGCTACATAACACGCAGAAGTCTGTGGAGTTCTCTGCAGAATATTCTTCACACTTATCAAATGCCTTGGAGTTTCATAGGTGATTTCAACACTATACTTGGTGCTCACGAGTATGGTGGTTCTTTTAGGCCTGCGAGAGGCCCGATGGAGGAGTTTGCTGACTGGACAGATTTCAATCATTTGGTCCATATGCCTACTGTTGGTGTTAAGTTTACTTGGGCTAATGGTATAGAGGGTAGGCAGCATACTCGTAAACGGCTGGATCGAGTTATTTGCAATCAGGATTGGGTTAGTTTGTGTGCTCAATCTTCCTGCTCCACTCTTAACAAATCCCAGTCTGATTATTACCCCATTTTATTACACTTTAACTTTCAAGAGTTCAAGTTCAAATCTCACTTTTGTTTTATGCAAATGTGGACATCGCATCCTGACTGCATTAAAGTGGTGGAAGATGCTTGGAAAACTAATTATGTTGGTTGTCCGATGTTCGTTCTGGCAGCAAAGTTAAAATTTCTCAAGGAGAAACTTAAGGTGTGGAACAAATAATGTTTTGGAAATGTGCAAGACAATGTCAAGAGGGTTGAGTTAGATCTTGAAAGTGTTGGATTATTTAATTCAGCGTCTCCCTGAGGGATTCGATGGGCTTAACATCCCACCCATGGGCGCCTACACAGGTGTGTTAGGTGGGCTAGGTAGGCCCCTTGGGGTTCACTTTAAGAAAGATAGTTGCGCCCTGACTAACAGCAATTGCTTTTGGCCTAGTGGTAAGCGCTTGATCCTACAAGTGGTATCAGAGAAAGGTCATGGGTTCGAATCCCCCCGGCTGACACTGAGGGGGAGATTGTTGGATTATTTAATTCAGCCTCTCCCTGAGGGATTTGATGGGCTTAACATCCCACCCATGGGTGCCTACATAGGTGTGTTAGGTGGGCTAGGTAGGCCCCTTGGGGTTCACTTTAAGAAAGATAGATGCGCCCTGACTAACAGTAATTGCTTTTGGCCTAGTGGTAAGCGCTTGATCCTACAAAAAGTATTCAGCATCAAATTGACACAGATGGCCATACTGATGTTCTGGCTCAGCAAGAGAAAGTGGCGCAAGCTCGGCTGGAACAGGCTCTTAATATTGAGGAGCTCTTTTGGAAAGATAAAGCTCGTGTTAATTGGCAATTACACAGGAACCGGAACACGAAATATTTTCACAGGATCACTAAAATCAGAAACTCATCAAATCTCATTCACTCTATGAAAATTGATGGGGTCACCACCAACAATCAAAATCTGATCGCAGACCATGTAGTTTCTCACTTTGAGAATTTATTTGACAATTCTTCTATTTTGCAGGACAATTCGCTGGTAGAGGAAGTTATTCCGAATTTAGTGACTGATCAAATTAATTCGTTGCTAACGTCTCTCCCATCTGCTGAAGAAATTCGCAGTGCCGTTTTCAATTTAAATAGGGATAGTGCTGCTGGGCCTGACGACTTTGGTCCTATTTTCTATCGAACGTTTTGGGGCATAATTAAAGAAAATGTTATCAAGGCTACTCTTCAGTTTTTTAAGGATGGGTGGTTGGCTCCTAATTATAATTCCAACACTTTGGTATTGATTCCGAAAGTAAAGGAGGATGATAGCATTGACAAATTCAGACCTATTTCTATCGCAAATTTCAAATTTAAAATCATCTCCAAAGTTCTTGCGGATAGGCTTGCTAAAGTGCTTCCTCATCTGATTTCCAAAGAGCAACGGGAGTTTATTAATGGGCGCAGCATAAAGGATTGTATTTGTCTTGCTTCTGAGGTGGCTAATGTGATTCACAAAAAGTCTCTCTGCGGTAACGTTATGCTCAAGATTGACATTGCCAAGGCATTTGATACCCTTAATTAGAATTTTATGTTAAAAGTTCTTAAGCAGTTCGGGTTCAATGACATATTCTATTCTTGGATTAAGTTGGTGTTGGAATCGGCCAAGATTTCGGTGGCTTTTAATGGAGATCTTAGAGGTTTTTTGGGTTGCAAGAGGGGGGTTAGGCAAGGCGATCCACTGTCGCCTCTTCTTTTCTGTCTTGCAGATGATGTTCTGAGTCGAGGGCTAACTCATTTGGTTGATACGAATAGGCTGAAATGTATCAAAGCTTGTAGGAATATGGTGTTTCCTTCGCATACTCTTTACGCTGATGACATCTTGTTTTTTGCTCAAGGTATTTCTTCTTTGTTGGAAGCCATTGTGGAGCTGATTGATCGATATGCTTTGTGTTCTGGGCAGGTCTGCAATCCGGCCAAATCCTTTATTTATGTCGGTTTTATGGCTGCGGCGAGACATGAATTCTTGGCTAGCAGACTTGATTTTAAATTGGGTGTTCTTCCTTTCCTTTATCTTGGGGTTCTCATCTTCAAGAGTAGACCCAAAGTTGCTTTTTTTCAACCAGTTGCAGATAAAATTCGCGTTAAATTAGCTGCTTGGAAAGCTAGTTTACTATCTATAGCTGGAAGAGTTCAACTAGTAAACTCGGTGATTCACAGTATGTTGCTATATTCTTTCCGCATTTACTCTTGGTCGGTTAGTTTGATCACTCAAATTGAAACTTGGTGTCATAACTTTATATGGAGTGGTGATATTAATCAAAAAAAGATGGCTACGGTGGCTTGGAAAGTTTGTTGTCAGGACCGTAAGGATGGAGGGTTGGGTATTCGCTCTCTTCGTGTTCTTAACAAAGAAAATCATTTGGTTCAGTGCTGATGTATTATGAATGAGATTGACACTTGGGCTTCGATTGTAAAAGCTAGAGTTTTAAGGAAAGACTCGGTGCGTAAATCACACGTTTTCTCGTCTGTTTGGACAGGTTATGCTGAATTTTTGGAAGACATTGCAGAATTCTATGTGGATGATTGGAAAGGGCAATAAAATTAATTTATGGTGTGATAACTGGTGTGGCAGTCCCTTGAGTTCATCGCTCCATCTTTCGGATGCTCAGCTGGTGCTGCTGAAGGCTGATCTGAGCTCCATTTTAAGCGGCAATTCGTTTCACTTGCCACCGGGGCTGATCAGTATTTGTCCTGAGCTGCCACGAATGGTGGACAATATTTATGTCAATTGTTTGAAGGAAGATTGGCTCGCTTGGTCCAGGTATGACAGCGGCGATATCACTGTCAAGGATGCGTATTCTTATTGCAAGCATAGCGGAAATGCTTGTGTTTGGGGCAATTTAATTTGGCACTCAAACATCCCTCCTTCTCATTATATTATCTTTTAGAGAGTTATGAAGAATCGTGTTCCTACGGATGACGTTCTCCGGCATTGTGGTATGGCAGGCCCTTCTATTTGCAACCTCTGTTTACATACAGAAGAAAATATCAATCACCTTTTTTTTCTTCAATGTGAGTATTCTCGGAGGATTTGGAATTGGCTGCACGATATGCTTAATGTTAATTTTAGCTTTTCAGATATGCAGGATTGTTTCATTGCAATGCATAAATCTGGTGTTGCGCAATGTATGGTGGTGTACCGTGCTTCGATTATTGCTGTGGTTAATGGCATTTGGCGGGCTCGAAATTATGCTCGATTTCAAAACAGGTTTATTCCTTGGAGAACTACATGTTCATCTATTTATGCTACTTCCCAGCTGACTGGAAATTCTTTCAAAGGAGCATCTTCTATGGACATTGGGGACTTTCAAGTTCTGAAAAAGTTTTCTATTTCCATTAATCCGGTTAATCCCAAGATGTTTGTCGAAGTCATTTGGAATCCTCTCCCAAATGGTTGGATTAAAGTCAACATTGATGGAGCATCATGCGGTGATCCAATAAACGCGACTTGTGGGGGGATCTTTAGAGATCACTTCGGGAATCACATTGAAAGTTTTGCTTGTAATTTAGGCTCTGTTAAATCACTGTTTGCTGAGCTGGTGAGAGCTATTTTGGCTATTGAGCATGCTTTAGTTCGAGGTTGGACAAATATTTGGCTAGAATCGGATTCATCTCTTGTTGTGATGGCGTTCAGTAAACCATCTGTTGTGCCCTGGAAGATCAGGAATAGATGGGACAACTGTACGGCTACCCTTGGTAATTGTAATTTTTTGGCTTCTCATGTTTTCAGGAAAGGTAACCACTGTGCCGATAAATTGGCTAACATAGGTTTAAATATTTCTAACTTTACTTGGTGGAATGATGTACATTGGGATATAGAACCAGACTTTTGTAGAAACCGGTTAGGTTTATCTAATTTTAGAATCAGATAGGTTTGAGGTTTAGGCTCTTCGTCCCCCTCATTTTTGTACCTATTTATCTTTTTCATTTAATGGATTTTTGGGTTTAGGTCCAATTTATTAAAAAAAATGTATATGCTGTAAAATAGTTGATTAATATCTTTAATTTTTCAAAATATTTTATATTAATTATTTTTGTCAAATTAGGGACGAAATTTGCAATTAATTTTTAAACTTTTTTTTGTAATTAATAGAACAAAAAGACTAATATGAAACATTTTAAAAAATTAAGAGACTAATATAAAATATTTTTAAATTAAATGATCAAAATAAATCCGAGTTTAAAATACGAAATCAAAAAAGATATTAAGGCAAAATAATTTTACACGGTTATTTAAGAAAAAAATTAATCATCTGTTATATCATTAAAATATGATGGGTTAGATTATCGTCATTAATCAATACTGAGAAAAAAATCATCACTCTTTTTTTATTTTAAATCTTTAAAAATTATTATAATTTGTAAATTAGTCTATATTTTAATAAAATAAATTGAGTACATTTAATTCTCAAATTAGTTTGTCTCCTATAAAATAAAATAAAATAAAATATGAGGATAAAAATAATACAATCTCTATTTAATAGTTATTCAATAGATATTCATCATTCAATCATGTCACATATTTAATTTAAAATATCAATATAATTTAGCAAAATAGAATATGATAATTAGTTTACAGAGGAATTTACATGATAAATATATATATATCATTTTTTTCAATAAATATTTTTTAATAATAACATAAAAAGCCATATTTAAGCACTAGAAACCAATATTTTAAAATATTAATGAGTCGGGTGATCAATTCAGTCAAGACAATAATTATTCATCATCAAATTGGTGGAAATTGGTGTGTTAGTAGTGATCGCATTACCATTGATTAATTTATATTAAAAATTTTAAAACTATGACATAAATCTTCTATTTATAGAATATGATAAAATTTTATATATATTTAATCATTTTCATATAATTAATACTCTCCAAAAGTATAAATATAGTGATTTTATTGAAAATCTAACCTAAAAATTTAACGATATTTGATGTAAATTCAAACTCAGAAAAATAATAAATGTTATTATATTGAAATGTGATGATTTACTTTTTCAAATTTTTAACTAAAAGTTATAAAAGATTCTATAATAATAAATTGAGAGAGCTTGTCCGGTTATGAAAAACTTTAGAGAATTTCTTTTTCACTAAATAAAGTTTTCTTGCATCGTGCAAAATTTTATTAACGTTTTTAGATTTTAGAGATATATTTTCAAACATACTCTTTGTTCACTCAACAAATGTAATTCTAAGAGACGTCATATATATTGGATTTAATTTGTTTTAGAAATGCATCTCTGGAAAAAATCTGTAATTACATTTTCGAAAGAAATTAGGAACATATTCAGTAAATAGACTTTCCAAAATACAATTGATATTTAGAACGTAAAATGATCATTACAATCATGATTTCAACAGAAAATATTACATTTCAATATCCCGGTGGACGCTTGCATATCTTCAGGATATCTTCAACCGATCTTTGTAGCGTCGCTTCCAACTCGAGCAGAAATTTCTCTTCGAAACTGAAATATGTATCCCACATAGCCCTAACATCCGCTCGAGTCTTAAACTCAAATTTGTTAAACACAATGTTTCATTCATTGTCAATTGAAGGTGGACGGTACTTGAGCTTCACAACCCTTCGTCTGTCTCTGTAAGGTGGAAGATAATGGATTTCGTCTAAGATATCTTTGAGGGAGGTGAGATCGGTGAGCTTGAACGTCCTTCCGATTATAGATCTGCCAGAGTATGAGACACTCGTGACATACCAACAGATGTTTATTTGTGACATTTGAGACATTTTGAGTTTGTGTGAAATATAACACAAGAACACCTAAATTTATAGAAGACCTAGTTCAATATGGACCACTCATTGACTGTCAAATTGATTTTGGATATATATCTCTGGAAACGCACCTTATTATCTGAAACTTTCCCTGAAACATTTCCAAAACATAACCATATAACAGACACTAACATTAAGACCAAATATGCATAAAGACCAAATACGAATAAAATGTGAATATGTAACACTTCATTTATATTGAGATACAATTATATACAATTATTTGTTCGGTTAAACAAGAAATCAAAACGAATCAAAATAAGTGTCGCTGACTAAACCTATAGGTGGTACCTCCTTGGAATTTTGTGCATTCAATTCTTTTTCAATGTTGTTCAATCTCTCAAAATCTTCCATCATTTTCATGAAATGATTCGGCCACGTCTCAGCTTTTACGGTTGAATGAGTTGTCTATTCTAGTGATGTAAGTGGTATGGGGCAACCTACTTTCAAGCAAGCTTGAACAAAATGACTTGATTTTGAAAGCCATCCAATACACATGATACGATCATTTGGATTTTAGTATGGTGTGGTGTGCAGTGGGAAAAAGGTTTTTGAAAAATCGTAGCGTGTCAAGTCAATGCACACCCTATCATATGCATATGCAATTAGGTGACCCATATCCGGGAAGCTCATCCATTTGACTCCGCTGCATGACCGCTCAAGCAAGGAACAAGAGACTCATAAACCGCATTGAATTTTTCTTTATTTTCGTACAACCGCATGTACGATTCTTTATGCGTCTTCAACTCTTGGATAAGTTGATGTCAGACAAGTGCATGACTATCTTCTCCTTTACCGAGTAAAGCTCGGTAACCAAAATTACCGTCCCCCACAACATCGATGATTCGCTCAATATATTTGTGCATAAAAATCGGCATCTCGTTGATGAATAGAATCTTCGGTGGAAGCGGCGTTGGAGGCGGTTTGCTAATGCGGGCTCCTTTCACAACACTTTAGAGATTTTGGCGGCGAGTCATGAAAAACTTTGTCAACGTGTTCAAAAATATGAAAGAGATCGTGTAGTCGAGTTGTCATTCAGTGTAGGCTTCATTTTCTTCGAAGCACCTTTTGTTTTTACTGGTTGGGATGGCGGTTTCATGTCGGTGGTTTCGGGATATGCAATCTTCCTCAATTGTTCTTTGATGTATAATTTCATGATGTCATCGGTCTTTGAAAATCTCTCTAGTATCGCTTCCCATTCGGTCAAAATTGAGATATTTTATTTCCCTTCATCCATGCATCCATCGTCATTGAACCAAAGTCTCCTCCAATGAGAGCAAACCTCGTTTGTTCTTATTGGTTCACCAAGTTTCACCTTTTTATCAAGAGTACAAGCACACAGGAGACCATATGTTTTCACAATAGTGCAACCACATTTTGCACTATCGGAACATATAACATTAGCTTGTTTAGCTTCATGAAAAATATAGTTCAAACTCGCCCAAGAAATGTTACCAACCAGCTGAGAATATAAAGTGTTGTCTTTAAATCGGTGCTCCAAAACCGTGATGCTCTGATCAAATGTTGTTTGTATCTCATTATGCTGGTTCTGAAATGTGGTTCACAGAGTCTCAGTCTCGACGCAAATCCCCCTTGTTATTTCTCAATCAACTTTTTAAAGTAGCATGGGCCAACTCAGCTCTGTTAGTAGTTGTATTTCTAAGGTGTCTAACATTATCAGTCAACGTGCAAACTATCTTCTCCTTCACTTGATCAAAAATGGTGCTTTTAACATATTTCAACAAAGCAGGACACTTTTCACACACTTTCCGAAAATAAATAACGAAATCGGCATATAATTCTTTTGTGGGAGAATTTATTATACGATACCATGCATCCATTATTTTTTCCATAATCACACCCGTCTTCACTAATTTTCCACCTTCGGACTTTATTGGTTTCGTCCCTACCGCGAGTTTTACCCGACTTCTCACATTCTTTATTATATGATACTTATAAAGTAGTGCATAAGAATAAGGAAATACCTTAGCAACCGAGTTCATCAATGCGGTATCGCGGTCGATAACGACCGTTTTAGGCATCCTACCTTGATCCTTCAAAAGTGACTGACACACCTCTAATGCCCAAGCAAAATTGTCCCTTTTTTCACACTAAAGAAATGAAAAACCAACAAAATATGTCTTCGCATTTGAGGTAACACCAACCATCTCAAATAATGGAAGTATATACTTATTGGTCTTGAAGGTTGAATCAAGTATGAGCATCGTCAAAAACGTTTTGAACAACTTTATCGAATCAGGATGAGTCCAAAAAATATCTCTAATTGTAACTCTATCATCGCACGCTCTGTACCGGGACATGTAACTATTATCGTCCAACAGTTTTAAGAGTTGTTGCATCTTAGTTATATCCCCCCTAGTTGTTGTCGCTTACGCGAAAATAAGGTGCCGGCAGAACAGAAGAGTCGCCACCTTTCGTTATTTATCCCTCGGAGCGGGAAAGGAAACGATCGGAAAAACCTGACGAAAAAGGGTAAGACAAGGTCGTCGCAACCATTGTCTGGGTTCGGGAGTCGGTTACGCAAGGGGAAGGTATTAGCACCCCTCACGTCCGTCGTACTCGACGGGATCCACGCTTGTTGTGTTTACTGGACGAGTTGGTTTTATCTATCTACCTATTAAGGCTGGTTTAAACAGAAAAGAAAATGACTCGGCAAAGCGTCGCACTTTATGCCTACGTATTCTCATCAGAGAACGAGAAATCAGAGTCAACGTAGTTCGACCTACGACGGGTTATGGGGAAGGTAGCTCGCCAATACATCAGTATTGTGCCTACGTACTCTCAACAGGTATGAGAGATCAGAGCTTACGTAGTTCGGGACACTACGCATTATTTTCTGTCTTTTACGGAAGAAGTGTTTTTTATTGTGTTTGCAATTTCAATCGCACTAGAGACTATGACCTGAGAGTGAATGTGTCGCATGTCACCCAAAGGGTGCCATACTAAACATCCAGACTGTGGAAAAGAAACTCTCCCACAATCCTTTCCCAGATAGCTTAAGGCTCGTAACGTACGAAAGAAACCATTCATGATTACTGTATCTTAAGCTGT